AGCAGCAGCAGCAGCAGCAGCAGCAGTGTCCAGGGACTCCACCATGAGAGGGAGGTTAAGGCTCCAGACACATTTGGTCCATATTGGAGTCCAATTTCCTGGTGCAATAACTGAATACCACAGACAGGACGATTTATAAAGAATTAAGGACAGAAGCCTGATGCTTTTTCCTAATTCCAAAATCCCTTTCAGAGGTCCTGGGGTGAGTCACGTCCACAGACATTAACAGATCATTTTAACTCATTGATAACAGGACTGTTCCCTACCTCTGTCCTTGGGTCCGCATCTTTTGACGTACAAGCCCCCTCATCTCTGTTAAAGCACACCCTTTACTGATCCTCTTCTGAAACACAGAAAACCCGTTTATAACCTACAAACCCCCACGTCCAGCTGGACAGACCAATGGAAAAACTTCTTCACTAAATTCAAACCTTGTCCTCACTCTGAAAAGCCAGATAAAAGGCACCCCTGTATCTGATCACCCCAAGAAAGGTATGTTTGCTTTCTTAGAACTGGTCACTCATATCCGTGTTTAGGAATAAACCTCAGTAGTTACTATTTTGCAGAGCTGGTTACTTCTGTCGACAGAATACAGGTTCATTCAGCACATGGTTCTGGAGGCCCAGCCAGTGTTGAGGTGAGGCCTTCTTGTTTGTGGGGACTCTGTGGCACCCTGCGGTGACCTGCAGCCTCCCACAGCAGAGCGTGAGCACTTGTGTACTTCGGTCTCTCCCCCTGTTCTTAATATGCAAGCTGGTCCCAGAGAGACAGAGAGAGGAGGGGAAGTGAGAAAGCCCCGCCCCCGCGGCCCCCTCCGGGAATGGTCACACCTCACTGTCTCTGTTCCATTTCTCCCTGCTGTTGGGATTCTGTTGGGATTTTGTGCACGCACCTACTCCCCCTATAGTTTTCAAGCTGCTGGTTCTGGGACTCGAACTGCACATCTGGCCACTGGGATCCAGGGGCCCTAACCACCAGGTCACAGGTTGGTTCTCTCTCCCTTTTCTTATAAAGCAGCAGCCTTAATGATGGAGGCCCCACTGTGATGACCTCATCTAACCCCAATCACCTGCCAAAGGCCTTTCCTCTTCATCTCCTTGGTATTGTTTCCACCCCTTTAGCATAGTCACTATAACAACCAAATTTCAGCACTTACATTTTGGGGGGATGTGTTCAAACCATAGAAGTTAATCAACTTACAATTTTTTTTTTTTTTTGAGAGATTTTCACTGCAGGGCGTGTGCGCTTGCCAGACAGACAGAGAGAAACATTAGATACAGAAAGCGAGAAATCACCCCCCAGAGGGGATGGTCACGCCGCAATCCCTTCTCCTCCATTCTCCTCTTGGGATCTTGGGCACGCACGCACACGCGCCCGGCGTGAGTTTTAAGCCACCGGGTCCGGGACACGAACCGCGGTCGACTACGTGGGAGTCCAGCGACATAGCCATTACGCTAATTGCTGGTTCCTCAACTTACAATTTTTAAAACTTTTTTAAAAAAAGAATTATTTAATTTTGTTATTATTATTATTTTTTAAAGTAGACCAGATTGAGACAGAGAGAGAAAGGAAAAGCGAGAAAGCAAGCCTCCAAGGTCCAGGACTTGAACTGTGGTTGATCATGTGGGAGTCCAGCACCTTAACAACCACATCGCCTGCTGGCCCCCTTACAATCTTTTAATTCATTGCCTAAAGAGAAAATTCAGACTATGTCACGTTAAAACGCATATCCTCTTGAAAAATTGCAAGAGTCCCTATCCCTGCGCCTGCATGGCTGCAAGGGCGGCAGACAGGGCACGGGACAGGTTTCGCCCCTCACTCTGGAGCCCTCCACTGGGCCAGGCGGGCTGCGGTGGTTGTTCTGCAGGACTGAGAGGACAGGGAATGGACCCATGCCTCTGCACTGGGAAGTGAAGCCCGGCGCAGAGGTCTGGGCACCGAGCAGACTAGCCACCAGCACCTTCCTGCGTGCAGGCGAGGAGGCTCCCAAGCCCCAGGCAGCTTTATTTTTCTCTTCTGAGCCCTTGGGAGCAACCATGTTTTCACTCACCGCTTAGGTCCCATCATGTCACTATCTGCAGTGGAAGCTGAAGGCTGACATTTTATGAAAGAAACTTTGGAAATGCGAGTTGGGGTGTGAGCAAGGACAACGGTGTTAGGTGCTGTCATGGACCCCACAGACATGTTCAGCCTTAACGTCAATGTCTGTGCTGGAGATGGGGCCTTGAACGGTGACAGGTTCAATGAGGCCTTTAGGGTGGGGCCCGACTATAACCTGGACTGGCAGCTCCTTGAGGACCGGCAAGAGGGCAGCCTCCTCGAGTCGCGAGATGGCAGAAGAGGGCAGAGCGGCCGTCCCTCGCGCCGAGGACCGTCCTCCCTCCGCTCAGGTCTCGAGGACCAGGGAGGATGGCTCCGCGAAGGGACGACTGTGAAGCCGAGTTCAGAAAACGGCGACTTTACGTCCGCGCCGGCGTAAGCACAGCAGCTTGTCACCGGCCCTCCCGCCGGGCCAGGGCAGAGGGGCAGACGGCGACCCTCGCGCAGGACAGTGCCCGGGGATGGAGCGCCCCCACGATGGCGAGCCGCCTGAGCCCTCGGGGAGGAAAGAGAAAGCAGAGGGTGCATCTGCAGCCTGGGGCGGCCGGGGGGAAGCGAAGCGAGAGGAGGCTAAGAATGCCACCCACCGCTGGCGAGGGGACGACGCGGCGGCAGTTAACGCCCCGGGCACTGCAGACGTGCGGGCGGCCAGGGGACGCGGCGGCCGGAGCGCCCCTCGCGGAAGGGTCGCTCGCCCTGCCCCGGCCGCTCCGGGAATTTTCGCTCGCCGTGCCCGGTCGGCTCGTTTCGGTAGGCTTTCCGGGGCCCGCTTCTCAAACGCGGTTCCTCCGCTTTCTGTCTCAGCATTGCCAATCTAGGACTCAAATCTCAGCCTGAAAGTTGATCCCTGGCCCGGGGGGTCCTGGCAACCCCTCGCCAGCGCAGCCTGATCGAGCAGGGGAGAGCGCTGCTTTCCCGGCCGCTCCATTTTACACCGGGGCACCGGCCCCGACCTTGAAGGCTCCTGCTGCTCCTTCTCAGCCCAGCCCCATTCACCCAGCGCCTCTGCGGCGCGGGCAGGGACGGCAGGACAGCGCCTGACTGGGAAATGGACCCCAGAAGTTAACGGCGGAGGGAACGGGAGGCAGATAGACAGCTTGTGGCTCCTGGGCGCAGACCCGCACGTTCCCGGTTTTATAACCAGGAAAACTTTCGAAGACACTCTGGCCAATTGTAGCCCGTGGCGGGCATTTCAAACTGTCCAGCCGCCCAATCAGAGACGGGGCGCGGGGATGGACGTCACTTGCCTGGACTAGAGTGTAACCGACAGTGGACTCTGACCACAGCAGAAAACAAACGCAAGACTTCTCGTCACCTTACTACTAAACTCGCAGCAGAGGGTGACATAATACGCTCGCAAAACTTTTACACTTGACCCTCTTGCCCTGTTTTGTCTTTCCTAAACCAATGCAGGGTTACTCAGGAAAAATTAACAAAGTGTGTCAGCTTTTTCCGGAAAATGTGAGTGGCTCTGAAAAGAGCCTTTGGTTAACATCAGTATGAGAAGCTGCTTACTTGGCGCTGGTGTACTTGGTGACGGCCTTGGTGCCCTCGGACACGGCGTGCTTGGCCAGCTCCCCGGGCAGCAGCAGGCGCACGGCCGTCTGGAGCTCCCGCGACGTGATGGTCGAGCGCTTGTTGTAGTGCGCCAGGCGCGACGCCTCGCCCGCGATGCGCTCGAAGATGTCGTTGACGAACGAGTTCATGATGCCCATGGCCTTGGAAGAGATGCCCGTGTCGGGGTGCACCTGCTTCAGCACCTTGTACACGTACACCGAGTAGCTCTCCTTGCGGCTGCGCTTGCGCTTCTTACCGTCCTTCTTCTGCGCCTTGGTCACCGCCTTTTTGGAGCCCTTCTTTGGGGCAGGAGCCGACTTGGCAGGGTCAGGCATGGTGAGACTAAGTCTTGAGGAGGTTGATAGGGAAATAGAAAGGGCAAGCTGTACGCATTCCTTTTATTGTTAACGTCTTATGCAAATGAGGTGATTAGTACGAGAATACGTCTCATTGGTGGCGCTTGTACATGACGCCATATACAACGCGGTCCAATCGGAATAAGTGTATTTGAAAATCGCGATTTCATTGGCTTAATGGAAACTGTTGTTTAAGCCAGTGGCAGGGCTTCATTTTCTCTCCCAGGAATAAGTATAAGTACCGCAGCAACGGGTGTACTTCTGGCTACTTTGAGGCAGCAGGTTTTGTTTTCGCTATGTGTGGGCGCGGCCAGCAGGGCGCA